GCCATTTAAATATTTTATTGAGTTTTTATGCATTTCAAAAAATAGTTCTTAATCAAATTTGGGCACCCCCTTTCTCATCCACCCTCCCCCAAAGCCCCGGCACCTGATTTCATGCATCCTGTCTTTCTGTTAAGTCCTATTTGTACTCAGATGTCTCTTGGTGCAAGTTCACCCCCTGGAGTCTACTCAGCCTATCTAGAGATCTTAAAGATCTACACTCCTTCACCCAGCAGTGATTAGTTTCCCATAGTGATTAGTTTCCCATAGTTCCTAGAGGGCTGGGGTCTGCTGCCCATTTCCCTCATTTTATGCTGGATTTTTGACTGATTGAGTCAGCATAGGTCTTGTCCACGCTGTCACCTTTGCTGCAAGTTCATATGAGCAAGTTTCCAGTGGCCTGAAAGCCTCTGTTTTCTTATGTTCATGTGGCAAGCCTGGCTCTTACAATCTTTTGCCTCCTCTTTTGCAATTGTTCCTGAGGTGTGGATGGGTGAGGTTCAGTATAGGAGTCTTATCCAGGGACAGGCACTCTTCAGTCTCTTGTTCTCTAAAACTTAGCCAGTTGTGGCCTTCTGTGTACATCTTACTTTGTTGTAAAGGGAAGCTTTGCTGGTGAGAATTGAGAGTTGTATTAGAATTCTCTCTACTCCTTGTTCCTCTATGTTCCATGAATCTTAGGTGTAGAGGTTCCACTGTAAATGTGTCACTTAGAGTTGTACATCTTTCACATATATATTCTCTGTATGTGACCAGTTGTAGAACTTTGTAATAGTTTCTGTTTGTTACAAAAAGAAGCTTCTTTGATTAATAGTGTATGGTACACTTGTCTGTAAATATAGGACCCATATATGTTAGCATACTGTAAGAAATTTCACTTGTCTAGACATATCACAGAGATAGGGTTTTCTATAGGATCTATGACCTCTCTAGCCATGTGTATTTGGCTATATTTACAGTGCCACTCATGAGTACCCTCACATTGAGAGGGCTTTAAGTCCAATTAGATAGCTGTTGATTACCCCTGGATAACAGTGCACTAATAGAGCTAGTTTTCTGTGCCAGTCATTGTGGTTATTAGACTTTAGAGATGGGCTGGAGCATTGATGGATTTTTCTCCCTTAGCAGCTTGCACAGTATCCTCTAGAACTATGAGAGCTAGTCTTCAAGGAGAAGGTTTCCAAGTCTCCAATGTCTGAAGTATGTCCTGTCTTCATACTTTCAAGTTCTGGGAGGTAATCAAGGGCTGTGACAATAGCCTGTGGTATTTTGGGAGTCTCTTGGATTACTCTGACCAATAACTTGAAGGGAAGTTTCTTCTGTCTGGCACTGTGCTCCTTGTTATATTATCTTCAAATATACACACACCCTAATGTTCAGCTATTGTATGTGCATTTTCCAGGTTTTTAAAAAATTCATTCCCCTTTGATTTTTTATTCCACCTAAACTTTATTTACCTCTCCTTTCTCTCTCCCTGTGTAGCCTCCTGGCTCCTCCCCAGTTTAAGTGGCCCCACTTTCTCCTTAATAATAGCTGCCTCCTATTATATCCCCTTGAATTCTTTCTTCTCCTTTACCCCCATGGTTTCTTGTGTATCTTTCCCTCCTCCCTTCCCAGTTAAATACCCACACTTCCCTCTTCGCAGCACCTGTTCCCAACTATCATCCTCTTTCAGGATCTTTCTTTCTCTTTACCTCCATGTTTCCTTTCCTTTTTCCTGACTCCCGCTGTTCCATCAGGATATATACTCACATATAAGGATTAATGCTATGATCCTCAAATGAAGAACATACATCGCTTGCTTTTCTGAGTCTGTGTTGCTTTACTTAGTATAACAGTTTCTAGTTCCACCAATTTATCTGCAAATTTTATAGTTTCATCTTTTCTTACTGTTGAGCAGAACTCCATTGTAGAAACGTACCATATTTTCATTGTCCATTTGTCAGTTGAGGGGCATGTAGGTTGTTTCTATTTTCATTTTAGAGTATTCCTGTCTTAGTCCATCTCCACCAGCACTTGGGTGACAAGGTATAGTATTCATGAGCAGTAATATTTTGAAAGGAATCTTTCCAGTTACTTTGTCTTAACATTGGATTTAAAATACTCAGTGAACCATGTTGTAAACAGTTGAGCTGTCACTCAGGCTTTGTGGTAGCTGTAGTGTAACTCTTACAGGCCCTAGAATCTTCCAAATGATAAAGGAATATTGGTCTCCACTTAAAGTCACTAGTTATATTGACTCCTGATAAGAGAGTCAATCTGTCCTTTGAAGATTTGGATTTAATCATTGACTTCTCCTCTTACGTTCTGAAAGTCCTAGACAGCTTCTTCTAGTATAAGACTGTCTATCTGCATTGAGCATCTGTTATCCACTGTAGTTACCTTCACGATCTTAGCTGTATATTTTGCATTACTTGCAACAGCTTCTATGTTAGCACCTACTGCCTCCCCCGTACCTACATGGACAGAGCTGTTAGATGTCTTCAACTGGATTCTTGTTGACTTGGACCCACCTATCGCTAGCTCCAAGTCCAGAGCAGGGTTGGACAGATACTGGCTAACTGAGCTGGATAGCTTTAGTGTCAACTTAACACACCTGGGTTGAGGGAGCCTCAGTTGGGGAATTGCCTCCATTGGACTGGCCTGTGGCTATGCCTGTGGGGCATCTTCTTGATTGTTTAGTGATGTAGGAGGGCCCAGGTGGGCCTGTGCTGTATAAGAAAGCAGATTGAGCAGGGGTCAGGGGAGCAGGTCAGTAAGTAGCGTTCCTCCATGGCCTGTGCTCCAACTCCTGGCTCCATGTTCCTGCCCTGAATTTCTACCTTGGGCTCCCTGATGAACTGTGACCCAGGAGATGTAAGACAAATAAACCCTTTCCTCCCCAAGTTGGTATTGGTCGGAGTATTTTGTCACAGCAATGGAGAAACAAACCAGGACACTGACTATGACCATTGCCAAGACAGTCCTTCTTGCTGTTCTTCAGTCAGTAAACGGCCACTCAGTGTCCTGGCAAAGCCTTCCACCTTCATCTTCTGACCATTTTTCACAGAAGCATTTCTTTTTTTAGCACAGTGGATGAGATTACAAGGAGTAATGAAGCTCGGTGTTTCTTGAAGATACCCATCACCGTTTTCACTCCTAGGATCATATGTGAGCTCAGTCAAGCACTGTCCTGGGTTTTCAGCTGTGCCAACCCACACAGTACCCAGCTGACAATGTCCTTCCACCTGGAGAAAAAAAAAACCCTAACAGTTCTGTTAAGAAAAAAGCACTGTAGTCCCTAAAAATGTTCCTGCCTCAAAGGCCAAGGCATATACCAGTACTTCAGGATCTGTTTACAGGAATTGTAGGTAGAGTCTGTTTACAAGTAGAAGAACAAGTCTCCGGGCACAGAAGGAGTCTGGCCAGGGCAGCATGGACATAATCAGGGACAGCAGAAGCACCATGGAGCTTTCTGAGGTCAAGTCCATGTTCTAGGTTTGTTGGAGGGGTAACACTGCTGTGTGCACTCACGAAAATTCCTTTGCATACGTAAGATTGAACACGTACAAACCCCATCCTATTCCTGCTGAGTTGGGAAAAACACTTACCTGGTGTCCAAAAAGAGACGGAGTGCCAGAGCTACAGTGGGGCTCCCCGGAGGAGCAGCAAGAGCCCTCCATGTGCTCTGACATTCATCCTCAGCTGTCTGCCCTCTCACCAGCGTGACCCTACCCCTGTCAGTGTTCACATAGCTGTCGGATGTGAGTCCCCCTTTTCCCTGCTCAAACATCCTCCAGTGTTCCTGTTCCTAAGAGGCAAGTGTACTGTACCTCATAGTCATTCCTTCTACCTCGGACTCCGATTTATTGACTTAGGCAGGATCTCTTGTCTTTGGGGATCCTAACAGCCCTCCAAGCCAGTGTTCAGTAGAACCCATCTCTTTCTTCCCTTTTGTCCAATTTCCAGCAGGCAGAGTGCTGGCAATTTCTTGTTCTTAATTCGCGCTCCCCAGAACACAGTGAAGCTAGGCTGTCCTGTAGCCTCCTGTACACATAGTCACAGAATGTTGGGAATGAGGCTGTCTGAATGGCTAGCTGCCTTAACGTTACAGACACTTACAGAATCCAAGGACTTAGAATGCATATAAGCCAAGAATGTCAGCTATCTTATTAAGAATTATTCCTATATGTTGAGATAACATTTACTATTTTAGGTTACAAAAAGATACTGAAATTATTTTACCTATTTCTTCATACACTTTAATGTGCCTACTAGAAAATTTAAAATTATACAGGAATTCATTTGGCATCTATAATGGGCAGCCTGCCATATCTTGTCCAGGACTCAGTCACCAGCATCTGTCTCTCCCTTCTAGAGGGTCTGGCCAGGGAGAAACCCCAGGAGCTTCATTTACTAACTGTCATGATTGATGCCATTGAGTTGTAAAAAGGGAATCCTTTGTCCTTTTCAAAATAAAAGTAACTCAATATATTTGGCAAAGAAATTTTTCAGGAAAGGACACCGGTTGTTCCTGGAAGGAGATTTCCGGGCCCTGACAGCATGGATACTCTTGACCGGCAAGGACCTCAGGAAACCAAGTTCTCCCCCACTTTTCTGGAGAAATAGAGTTTAAAAATCACAGGCTTTGGGGGGCCAGGAGGGTGGTTACCCCTTTGTGGAGATAAGGGTGATCTGAGCTTGGAAGCTCTCAGCAGCAAAACCTGTGGGGATGGAGCTGAAGGAGAGGACCTAAGTGGCAAAGTGGAAGGGCAAAAGAGACAGGAGGAAGTGCCAGGCCTGGGGGTGGGGTGGGGGAAGGCCTAGAGGTAGAAGGAGGGGAGGATCAGAGAGGACTGGGGCTGGTAGGGAAGGGGCGGAGCCAGGGATGGAAGAAGGTGGGGTAGAGTGAGGACATGGCCAGACCAGCCCAACAGATTAAAAAGCCAGGTGTCAAATCAGAATTCCTCTAGACCATTCCCTCCCCCACCTCCTGCTCTACTGAGTTGCAGTTCTAAATGACCATGGCCAGTCCACTGTGCCCTGCAGTGCTCCTGCTGGCTGCCTTTGCCCTGATCCTGGCTCTGGCTGTGAACCCTGCAGTCAGTATTAACTCTAAGGACAAGCAGGTGGCAGTGGGTAGAGTGGAGGAGGCTGACCCCAATGACCAGGAGACACAGAAAGTGGTGAACTTTGCTGTCAAAACTTACAACGATTTGAACAATGACCTGTACCTTAGCCGGCCAATTCGAGTGATGAGCGCCAACCAGCAGGTGTGTGTCTAGCCCATGGGCAAGCTGGGTGGGTTTGTCCTGCAGAGGCGTTACTGCTGTCTCCCCCCCCCCACCTTTATTCCCTCCTCCTGCCTCCACTCTTACATCCCTCCAGGAGACAGTGGACTTTCATTGCAGGTTAGTACAAATTGAACCAATACATAAATATACCCCTGCTTGCCATATCCAAGCATTTTCCGTAGCTCACCCACCCTAACCCTTCATGAGTGTGTTCAGGATTGTCCCCAGTGGATTAGCCTGGAACGTGGCCAGGCAGTGTAGGTAAGTACCTGGTACCTCAGCTCTACTTCCCAGCGCAAGTTGGCCAGAAGCATAGAAGCATGAAAGTTGTCACCACCCTGGTCAGAACCCATCATACTTATCACCTACCACCAGTTGCCTGTGATCAGTGTGAAATACTATCTAAATGGCTATGGAGAACAGACTCCACCACTACTCTCACTGGATTGTCTTTGAAATACCCTTTCCTTTCAACTTTTTAAAGTTCTTTCACAATTGTATTGCATACGTACATACATATGTGTATATTATACACATGATGCATTTTGATAATTTTCTTCTTTTGACATAAGAGAGGATTTTCAGAGTAGCCACGACAATTGCACAGGCATCCATGTAGATCCTTCACCCAAGTGCTAATGATTATGTGAATTTATATTTTTGAATGCTTTGAAAATGAATACTTCAGTGAACGCTTCTTGAAAATAGAAGCATTCTTTACCCGAGCCTGATTCCATTTAGAAAATCAAGAATCAACAGACACTATTACCTCACTCACAGACTCACCCAGTTTGCAGTGATGGACATTCCCAGCAGAGGTTGATGACCTCATCCAGTCCGCTCTGAATCCTTTCCTCTGACAGTCTCCGCTTAGCTTTCCTGATTTTAGCCTGTGGAAGGGTCCAGCCAACTGTGGCAAACATTCATGTGCTGCTCAAAGAGATTTTGCTCAGCCATGGACTACATGTAGCCCTGGGGCCCTCCTAGCTTTTGCATGTGCTTTACAATGCTGTACAGTGCAATCTATTGGGGACACATATCTCAGAAGAGCTTTAACTATAAATAACACATGTACAGACTGGTGCTAATCTGGTTATCCTAATGTTTCCTCAACGTTGATGCTAGTCACCTAAAGTCATCTAAGTAGGTGATATCAAGCTTTCATGAGAAGCCTTGCTTCCCCTTTACATGGTGGCCCTGAGTGTCCTTTGGAAGAACCTTGAAGGCTGGCATCACTACACTGAGAGGAGGGTATCTTGGCCAATAGCCTATGAACACATCTACATAGGAAAGACCACCCTGGACTCTGCCTCTTCCAGCAGCACAGAGTCAGTCTCATCAGCAGATAGTTAGCAGGTGGAGAAGGGGTCTAGAGCCAGCATCAAGAGCTGCTAGATCCCAAAGTCAGCTTTGAAGGAAGGCTGGAATTCATACTAGATGGCCTGCGTACCACTTTACTCAACATATAGCAATGGAGCTGCAAAACATTCCACACATGTGTGTAAAGCTCATTTCTTTCTCTTCCTGAAAATTCAAATGACTCACAATCGGCCCCATGTCTCCTGCTATGGCAAGCATTAGTTTTACAGCCTTGAGTAGAATATGCATTTCCTACTTTCCAAGTGTCATGGTTCTTCCTGGACCATGTACCCCCTTAATTGTCATACTAATTTGCAGGGAAAATGGGATGTTGTAGACCATTGAGTCTGTGATATCATTTTACAAGCAGGAGATCCAGAGCCAGAAGAATCAAGCGCCTTGCTATGGTTTCACCAGATAAGACCTGGAGCCCTATCTCCAGGTCTCACAACCTGTGCTCCTCCACATTTCTGAAGAGTTTGATCTGGGATGCCCTTGCAGAGGAAGGGTTATACCCTAGTCTTTAATCACAGATAGAAGACATGTAAGTGTGTGACACACTTGAAAAATATCAAGATAGACAATCACACTGAAAGATGAGGCATTTAGTCATCTTTCTTTTTGCATTCTCATGTGTTAGACATCCATATCTTCCTGTCCAAAGAGGAAAAACATCTTTGTAAGTGGAAGGAATTGGTTCTTCATAGACTGTGTGCTGTTACTGAGATTAGGCTGAAGTTAGTCATCATTCTAAGGCTTTTAAAAAATTACTTATTGCATTTTATTTTATTTTATTATTTTTTAGAAGAAGCATTTCATTACAGCTTTAACATACTCAATAACAATTTCCAGAGCAATGATGCTTCTCTTTCAAAAGTGGCTATAAAAATTTTTAGATTCACTGTTGAATTAATACAGTTATACAATAGTGAACTCAGTATAAACCCTGTAAGACATAAAATTGAATGAGTTTTTAATCTTTAAAAAGAGATCTCCATTTCATTTTAAAATATACTGTTTCTTACAGAAAGACTCATTGTTTTTGCTACTAACACTGAGATGTTGGCACATGCATCTCTAATCTGTATGTATCTGATTATTACTAGTCATAATCGGTTGCACTCAGATCCTTGGCACCTGTGTATATCTATAAAGCCTTCGGGTAGATTTCAATGGTAATGTTTATCACCTCTACTAATTAACATGATGTAACTTTTTATGCTTCCTCCTCAAATGTAATTCATTTTTTAAAAATTTGTTGACTTTTTAGGGTGTGTGTATATCACACAGAACATCCCATTTTATTCAACTGTACACCCACTTCCCATATGGCACCTTCCAATACCCTCCCTCTCCCCACTAGAGCACTTATACCCTGTTATCCCTGCTAATATCCGCTGTCATGTCAGCACCCCCAGCCATTCCCCACTACTCGTCCATCTGGTGATTCTAGTCAGCCTATCTAGAGGTCTTTGTTTTAGGAAGGTCAGCTGTTCCTCATCTAGCAGCAATTGGTTGTCAATATACCTTCAGATAAGATTGGGGTCTGCTGTTCATTTTCCCAGTTCTATGCTGGGTTACTATATGGGAGTCTTTTGGGGCACCCTGGCCAACAACTCAAAAGAAGGTATCTCCTATCTGGAATTGTTTCTTATTATGTAGCCTTTAGCTATGTATATGGACTCTTATGAAATTATATTGGCTCCTTTAACCTTTGGTTGTACTTTCCTTTTAGGTGTTTAAGGCTATACAGTTGGCCCAGATAAACCAATTTATTTTTACTTTTAAGGCCATTTGAAGATCTGTTCCTCAGGGGTCACATGGGCTTGGGAGGAGCCTCTGGCTCCTTTCTTTTACAAGTTACACCTATGTGAAGATAAGTCAAAGGTTCTGCTCAACCATGGCTGGCTACGCTTGGAAGCATGGAGGAAAGTATTCCTCTGTGTTGACCCTCCTCTTTGTAGACTGGACACTGGTTCAAGTCCATCCCGTGGGGTCTCCTCAGCCTCTTTGATCAAGAGGACAGGTGACCCATCACAGTTACAGGACATTTGGGGAGATGCTCATAGTCCCCTGGAACTAGTCGACCTAAGAGGGGAAGGAGCAAAAACTGTCCTTTATGTCCCTCTGACCAAATTAGTATAGACCTCAAAGTATGTCTGTTAAACATCCAAGAAGGTTAGTTCCACCAATCTGGTACTTTTAATTACTGTGTGCCATTTGTCAGTAGGTTGTTGGACTAATATGGTTCCCTCTGGTTTTTAAAACTAGCTAGGCATTATTTATCTCTCGCATTGACTAACCCCTTCATCATGATTTCCCCAATTAAGGTGCCCCCGTTTTTCCCCTTTCTCCCTTAATAATACCTTTTGGGTTTATGCCAAGGAGTGGTATAACTGGGTCAAATGATAGGTTCATTTGTAGTTTTTTAAGAGTTCTCCACACTGCTTTCCATAGGGGTTGAACCAGTTTGCAGCCCTACCGGCAGCGGATGAATGTTCCCCTTTCCCCACATCCTCTCCAACATTTGGTATCATTTGTTCTCTTGATCTTAGCCAGTCTGACTGGGGTAAGATGAAATCTTAAAGTGGTTTTAATTTGCATTTCTCTAATTATTAGTGATGTTGAACATCTTTTAAGATGCTTCTTAGCCATCTTTACTTCTTCTTTTGAGAACTCTCTGTTCAGCTCCTTAGCCCATATTTTAATTGGGTTATTTCCTGTCTTGATTCTCTGATTTTTGAGTTTGTTATATATTCTGGATGTTAAACCTCTGTCAGATGTGTGGCTGGTGAAGATTTTCTCCCATTCTGTGGGTTCTCTTTTCACTTCCCTGGTTGCCTCCTTTGATGTACAGAAGCTTTTTAGTTTAATGAGGTCCCATTTGTTGATTCTTGCCCTTGTTTCCTGAGCAATTGATACCAGTTTAGAAAATCGTTTCCTACACCTATATCTTGTAGGTTTTCCACAATATTTTCTTCTAACAGTTTCAGAGTTTCAGGCTTTACATTGAGGTCTTTGAGCCATTTGGAATTGACT